ATTCCACCTGCGGCACCAGCCTCTAAGCCATGTGTTAATCAGGTGAGTCTTCCTGTTCCTCTCAGTAAACCTCCTGCCACTGAAGTCTGTCCCCATCTTTCCTACAGGCTCCCTTTAGGTACTTAAAGGCCACAATAATGTCTCCCTGGAGCCTTCTCCAGGCTGAACAACCCCAAATCTCTCAGCCTTTCTTCATAGGAGACGTGTTCTCTATATAGTCTAGACTTGTTATCTTAGTCCTTTCCTATTTCCTCAACCATTTTGCCAACCTTTCCTCTGGCCAATAAATACGTGGGAACTGATTTCCAACAGAGTTAATTACCTTTAATTGTGCCACTCTTGTTATCTTAACAGCTTTGACTCACCATAAATTGCTCTGGTATAGATGTGGTCAAGAGGTACAGATGTTGGCAAGATAAAAACTCTAGACTCTCTCATGTATATAATATGTATTTATTTATATATCTGAACATGTTAGATATGCTGCTGTGGTGGATTGGGTCAGTTATTTCACGATGGCTGGGATTTTACTGCTGTGCCAGGTGCTTCAGAGGCAGATACTGAGACATAATTCCTGCCCTCTGCTGCCTGCTCCAGCCCAATGTGTTTGTGAGATACTTTCAGTCATGACCCAACAAAGTCTGAGTTATTAAGAATCGAGGGGGGAATCAAGGGAGTAGCATTGCTTGGATGACATAGTACTTCAGCAAAGGCCAGTGCACAGTATGCTGAAATAAAAAATAGTTTAGGTATCAATAAATAAAACATAGAGATCTGAGCTGGCTGAAAAAATGACACAATTTATCTTTTGATATTTCCATTTCTGACATCTAGAGGCAAACCCAAGGCCAGAAACATCAGGGAAGAGATTGAGCAAGGAGGGATTCAAGTTGAACTTATGACTCTGAAAGGCATTTTTAATCAGTTAGGTTCCAGGGTCCTGGCTTATGTAAATGTAGGAATGCTATTCACTGACTTGGAGGGGGGGGGGGAAAGCCCACAACAGAAATGCCCTAAGGAGTTGTAATAAAAAGCCAAATACACTAAAAACAATAAGACTGGTAAAAAAAAAAGAAAGAAAGAAAGAAAGAAAGAAAAAAGGAGTTTTATTGTCAGGAAATTGATTCCAGGAAGTATACATTTTTTTTGTCAGGTAAATGTTGATTTTGGTTGAACCTTCAATCAGAAAAATTACAGTGAGATAATCTGCATTGGTGGGGGTAGGAAATGATTTTTTTTATATGTCTGAGTTGTGTTTGTACACTTGTCATTCTCCCATTCATCTCTTACCCTGCAGTGGGCAGTGGGGTTATAGCCCTTTCAGCAGCCTTTCCCTAGGGCTGAACACTGCCCTGCAGCATGGATATCGCAGTTCAGTGAAAAGCAAATGCAGAAGTAATAAAAAACTCGAGGTAATGCAATCCATTTATTGAGGAGCTCTGAGAAACACTGGGTCACCTGCAAAAGGGGGAGATTTGATGAACACCCTCAGTTCTCACTGCCCTCAGACATTTACTCTTATGACTTTTACTTCAGGTTATCATCATTCTCTCTATTCCACCACACTTTGATTCCTCATACGGACCTTTGTGAGTGCAAGTCCCTGCACAGCGTGAACAATCATTTGTTGTTGCCATTTCTAATATTTTCTTGCTGTATTTCTGTATTGCAGATGTGGATGAATGTGCTTCAGATTCTCACCAGTGTAACCCCACCCAGATCTGCATAAATACTGAGGGGGGCTATACCTGTTCCTGCACTGAAGGCTACTGGCTGTTAGAAGGCCAGTGTTTAGGTAAAAACCTCCTGTGATACGGTGTTTGAGCATCTGTGCATGTGTATCTGTGAATAGCTGAACTAATGTCACTGAGCATCTTTGTCAAGTCCACAGTTAAACCTTCAGCTACGTGGAAACTAATGTCATCTTTGTAAGTGCCAGCAGTCTGCTTGGCAGAGAGACTCCCTGGTGGAACAAAAATGCAGATGTAAATGCCATATGACTAACTTCTATGTAATACGTGGGATTTTCATATTTCCAGTCTGAAGGATTCCCTTTCATATAAGATCAACCACAAGCATGTATCCAAAAAGATTTGTTCCCAAACAGACTTGTCCTTTCCACATCGTGATAGTGTCGACCCAAAGGGATCAGTATTCGATACCAGGAAACAGGCCAGTAAATCCCAAGATTCAACCAGCCCTTTTGCCTGGGGGTGAGAAAAAAATCCTCTCTGAACTGGGTGCCATTTCAGTAGCTTCCATGCAGCTTTATTTTGATTTCATTATTTTCCTTGCAGCAATGTCCTGTTCATCCTTTTAGCTCATCCCTGTGGAAAAAAGCACCCCTCAACAAACAGCATGGGAAGACCTTACAGGTCCCCTCTGCTCCAGCCCATTCCCCTCACTTGACATGCCCATGGGATGATGAAGTAGATGTTAATTTTAGGTATTAGAAGATAGGATACTTTTAAAAAAAAAAAAAAGTTTGGTCATTATTTTTTTCCCCTCAGCACAGGCTGTTTGCCTGCCAGGTCTGCAGAGCTGGACTGTCCTGTCACAACACCTCTGCTGGAAGGAGAATGGGCTTTCCCTGCCCATTCATCCCTGGAGCTTCTCCAATTATTTTCCAACGTTCTTCTCCCAGGGGCCAATTCCAGTGAAGGATTGATTCACAGCTGCTTTCCTAACTCCTACAAACAGCTGCTGTGTAACTCACCTGGCAGGGACAGGGCTGAGCCTCACCCAGGCTGGGGTCTGTGCAGCCACAACCTCTTTGGGGAGTCACTGTCTTGTAGTTCCCCTGAGAGATTAAGTCTCCAAGCCCCCTGCTCCTTAATCTCTGATAATTCCCCTTCTGTTGGGAAAGAAAGCTTGTGACAGGGATTGCACAGGTGTGCATGATGGGGTGGGAATGAGGGAGGGCAGGGAGGGGGACTCTGCTCTGCATCACCTGTTTTTACTTCTCCCACTTCCAGCCCAAATGAAAGGTCTGTATGCAGCATTCACAGTTTGGACATGGATCTAAAGTACTTTCCTGCTTGATGGATATACCAGAGAACTGAAATGGCTGCATAGCTGAATTGATTCAAATATCCTCTTATGCTATTTAAAATAGGCAATAACATCCCAGGGTTGCCCACTTTAAGTAATCACAAGGTGGATTATTACAAGGCAATACAAAGAGCTAAAAGCAAATTGTGTTTAGAGTTGCTATATTTTTCCCTAAGGGTCAAAAAAGTCCCAGTTTTCCATATTTTCCACTGGCCTTGGAGAAGTCATTTTTTCTGGCATAAAGCAGCAAAAGACCATTTACCCTAATCAAAGATACTGGCTTGGGTTTTAGAGACAGGATTTTCTGGGGCACTGTTAGTAAACCACAGTTACAAAAAGCTACACTTCCATCTGTTGTAATTATCCCAGTAAAGTTCATACAGGAAGAGCCAGTACAGCAGTATCCACACAACACACCCACAAGAAGCAGCCCTGTAAAAGTCCTTATCCTCAAAATGTAGCACTCTTGAGATTAACAGTCCTGCAGAAGCCAAAGTATGTATTTAAAGTCATTCTGTCAGTGAAATGAGGTATTAATTTACTAAAACCCACGTAAATTTTTGCAGGATTTGGACCAAGCCTACTGCTGGTGTACATGCCATAGCTGACCCTGGCCTTTAGGTTACCTTGCTATTTAGAATGCAGTGGGAAATAAAAGCTAGCAGGGGTAAAACTGCATGTCAATGTCATTGTTATTTTACATAGAGAGAATATTTCCAAGACTTTCGACATTTTCAGAATGGTTTCCTGAGACTTTCTATGGCAAAACTGCCCCAATGAGCCAACAACATCAACTTGAATTGCAGGATGTAGCTACTTAGACAACAGATTCACAACATTGTTGTTCTTATGGTATTACCACATCATGTAAATGTTCAAGTTGTTCAAGAAGTCAGTTTCCCAGTTTTCTTAATATTTAATGCTGAAACAGGAGGCAGCCAATTTAGCTAACAAATAATGAACTGCTGGAATTCATGCAGATATACATGTATACGTGTGAACCATAGGAGAATATTGTCATTTTTATTTTCATGGGTGTTGGTACCTATGGTGAGGGTCACTTCACCAACTCTGTGCCTTCCTGCTTTGCTCCTTCTGGCAAACTGACTGGAGATAATAGACTTGGTTTTCTACTGCACAAACTTAATTTCGAAGCTTTGAGAGCAGCCATTACAAAATCTGCACAGATCAAAAGCTTGTTGATACCAAAGAAAATGTAAAGCCTTGGAAAGGACAACTACTCCAGGTGTTTCATTCTAGTTCTTAATCCAGGTGCCAAATTCTTCCAACACTTACCCTTATATGTATCTTACAGCATTTTCTTGTGCTGATAACAGTCAGTTGCATGTATTGGTAATGCTGCAATTCAGCCCAAATTGCTATTTTGGCATTCAATTTACAGTTTACATTTTAGAGTCTATAACTTGACAGTTAAAAATTCATATAAAATATGAATGTGACTGTTCAAAAAAAAGTCTTTAAAGAACTTCCTTTCTAAAAAAACAAGTATTTAGTTACAAACACATTGCTTTTCTAGTGAGTAGCTTTGGTATAAGTGGAGGTAAAAAGTTTTCTTTCTTGATTCTGACAAAACTTTGCTACAAGGGTGGCTGTGCCTCTGGTGACGAGCTGTGTCAGCTCTCAGGCATGCTGTGAGGCAGCTGCTTAAAGGGAGTGACTCTGGGCTTCCTGATGACATCACATTAAGCTGAAGATTACAGCAATGACAATCAGTTCACAGGACATGCTGATAGATGTCAGCTGTGATTAAAAACACATTACTACATTCTTCTGGGTAGAGATGTATTTTAACTATAACTCTGGGTCGGAACACCTGAAAGTTTGGCTGTTACATCCGTAACCAGTATGCTGAGTTATTTCTGTGTTACTGCTACCATTGACTCACTGTGTTTGCTGCTTTGTACCTGCATGTGAAAATGCAGACCACTCTACTCTTCATCTTTCCCGTCTATAGATATAGATGAATGTCGCTACGGCTACTGCCAGCAGCTGTGTGCCAATGTGCCCGGTTCCTACTCCTGTACGTGCAACCCAGGCTTTACCCTTAATGATGATGGAAGATCATGCCAAGGTACTGTGTATGGTAAACTGTGACTAAAATCTTTGGTCCCAACCCAGCAACACCCTTAAAACTCGCTTAGTTTTTAGAATACAAGTAACCTTCCCAGCACTACTTTTGAAAATGTTCATAGGTTTGTCAGCCTGAGATATTTCTATAGCTTCACAGTACCTCAGAGGGTACAGGTGCAACATGACCAGTTGATTAGGAGAAAAGGGCACAGGGGCCCAAGCCACCTAAAATATAGAGTTCCTCAATTCACTGAGATTACCCAGAGTTTACGCACTGAATTTACTTTTAAAATCTGAGGCTGTGTGGCCCACCTGAGACAGAATTCTTCAGATCAGTAAATTAGATCTGAGTCTCCCAAGTTCCAGACTAGGGTCCTGAGCATTAGTCATCCTTTTGCTGTGATGTGTTACCTCAGTCAAAGTCAACCAAACCTCTTCATAAAGCCTCTCCTCAGCTAAGCAGGAAGCATCTTCCCACATGCTGCAGGAAATGATCTGTGCTCATGATGACCAGAAGCTGCTAATGTCCTAAAAAAAAAAAAAAAAAATTAAAAATTCGGTTTTGTCTTAGCCCTAGGTTTCCGTGAGGACCATTCCTCATTGCATTATCTTCCTCAGGAATATCCTGCTGCATTTTGTCTCAGATTGCTTATGACAAAATCGATTCAATGGTTTTAAAATTGCAGGATAAAGACAGAAGTATTTGTAATAAATATTTCCATCTTCAATGTTATTTTTTTTATTTAAGACATTCCCAAAATGCTTCCTTTCCACACATGTTGTGTTTTCAACATGCTATTTCCAGGTATCAGCCCTAATCCCAATAAACAATACTGAATTGGTTGTATTTTTTCAGAACAAATCATTCTGACTGTACAGCTAATCTCTTTGAAATGCTTTACAATAATGAATTGAAAACAGAGTTTGGGGAGAAGTCACTGATGCATTGGGCATTGGTTTCCCATAGATGTGAACGAATGTACAACTGAAAACCCTTGCACTCAGACCTGCGTCAATACCTACGGCTCTTTTCTCTGCCGCTGTGAACCTGGCTATGAACTGGAAGCTGATGGAGTTAACTGCAGTGGTAACTGTCTTTAGTTATTTATTGTTTTGGTTTCTTTAATTCTATTAAGTTTTCTTTTCCCACTGTATTGTTTTGTACATGCTTTTTAAAAACTTTTTTGCATTGGTCAATGGTTAGCAGCAGGATAACTGCAACTTATATGATCTTCTTTCCAGGTAAAGCACACAGTAAATAACCAAAAAAAAAAACCAATGGAGGAGGGCTGCAGATGGTTTTAAAGAAATAAGCTAAATATTCAAAAGCTCCAAAATAACAGCAAAACATAAGAAAACACTTTGTAATGCTGAACAGGAAGCTTTATTAGAGCAAGTGAAGTAGGGATAGTCCTAGAACATTCTTCCATGATTAAAGAAATACTTTATATAAAGCACTTTTCCATTTGTCTGTTGAATGCATGTATTCCTCTTGCTCTTAGGACTGCACACTTCTGCCCGAAACTTTCCCCAGTTTCCCTTGTATGGCTCTGGCTACGCTTCAGAAACAATGTATGGTTTCTTCATACAGCTATTGCTAATCTGTTTAGCACATAGCAGAAGAAACTCTGCTTATGTCACCGTACTTTTTCCTCTCTTGTTTTTGTTCTTATTTTATTGCTTTATTTTAATTGAAGGCAAAACTTATTTCTGTGCTTAATGTTCCCACAGCCTGATAAAATTAGAGAATCCAGCCAATATTTCTTGGAAGGAAAAACACACTGGAAAATACTTGTTTTTTAATTTACAGTAAACAGATGTAACATGCTGTTTCTGAGAGAGAAGACATGTGATATGCAGTATGTGTAAAGACTATCCAAAGCTGTTCTTCCCTGCAAACCTCCTTATTATAAGGGAAAGAACAAAGACTTAAATCTCTAAAGGGTCTTACGCGTGTAACATTTAGAGCTGCAACACCTAACTTAAATTTTCCACTTTCTAATAGAGTTTCTGCTTCTAAGTTAGACTCCTGCACCTTTTTATCTGCTCTTGAGCTAGCTGGGGTCCTGAAACAGTTAAGTTCAATGCAATGCCATGTAAACATTTCCAGTACAAAATGGTGACAGAAGAGGTGGTGTTCAAGCCCCATTCATGTCTGAGTTAAGTAGCAAAAGGGACTTTCTACCACCCCGATTTAGAGCAGAAAACCTCTTCTTGACAATTCTGTGCAATCAAATGCTTGTAAAAACAGGTCAAATGTCTCCCAATGCCCAACGATAGGACAAGGAGCAATGGGTGTAAGCTGGAACACAGGAGGTTCCACTTAAACTTGAGAAAAAACTACTTTACAGTGAGGGTGACAGAGCACTGGAACAGGCTGCCCAGGGAGGTTGTGGAGTCTCCTTCTCTGGAGACATTCAAGACCCGCCTGGACGCCTTCCTGTGTAATTTCATTTAGGTTCCTGCTCCGGCAGGGGGATTGGACTAGATGATCTTTCGAGGTCCCTTCCAATCCCCATCATTCTGTGATTCTGTGATTCTTTCGCTTCACTAGACAACACTGAGGCTCACAAAGGGAATGCCTGGTTAGGAGGACACTTCTATGAGACATCCAGGATTCAGATGTACTTCAACAGCTGCTGGATAAGTCCGTGGCCTATCAGCCATCCTACCTCGAAGATGGGAGGCATCCCTGCCCCAATTCAAGGAGAGAGGCAAAGATTTCAACCTGGCTTTCCCAACATCATCATTATTTTCTAATCACAGAGATCTTGCGTGTGCGTTAGATGTGCTCTGAAACGCCTAACATCTTGTCCTCTGCAGGTAGTCAGCAGAATGCCAGAATTGTTTAGGAACAAGAAAGGTGGGGACTCAGCAGCAGAAATGTAGGATCCCCAGGGCTTTAAATCATTCCAGCACTTGACAGCAGCTGAGCACAGGTTATATGAATCCAATGTGCTGGAGGTCTGGGCTAGGACACCTTGAGGGGGTGGGTGATATCTTGGTCCCTTTATGGAGGCAGCCCTTGGCTCATGTGTTGTCAGGAAGGTGTTTTTTTCAGCAAACTTGCTGGGGCAAGTCACACAATAACAGGACCATGTAGATGTAGAGTTCCTTTCATCTCCCTTTTGATAATATGGTTGTGGCCATAAAGCCACTTTAACGTACTTGGACTTCAAATACTTACCAATCCGTCTGCACAAAACACCAAAAGGGAATAAATGGACTAAGCCTAATTTAGAAGAAAGAGAAATTCAGTCTGAAGAGTAAAAGTGATTTGCCTGGGACAGTCAACAAGTCAGAGCTGGGAATAAGAACTTGGGAGTTCCTGGCTGGGGTTCTGGCCTTTGTTTCTTTCTTCCCCTGAACAGGGAAATAAGGAAATGATTAACTGCAGCCCCCCTCAGTCTAACGCCTTTTTATGTGTTTTCCCCTCAGTCAGCCATGCCTCCATGTGCAGCTCCAAAGTTCCTCTCGCTTGAGCACAGTTTTGCAGGATACAATGACTGGTCAATTCATGAGTGCAAGGGGAAAAGAGCACTATTTCTGCTTTCAATCAGAGATTTGACAGACTACTTAGCTTCCCGGGTATCTGGGAGGTGGCTGGGCCTTCCAGTAGGTCTGACCCAAGCTGAGATGAGCTCTGTAGTCTTGCTGGAATGCCTTCGAAGTAACTGGCTAGAGGCTAAGAAACATAAAACAGCCAGGGCTGGCTGCAGGAGTGCTACTGGGACCCATGTGGCCCTGGGAAAGGGAAGTTTGCTCTCCAGAAAAAAAAAGAAAAAGAAAAAGAAAAAAAAAAGAAAAGAAAAGAAAACCACTGTCAAGTCTCTCCTTTCAAATTACAGTTGCAGCTTTGTTGTTGGAGTAGCTCTATCTCTGATGTAAAACAGAACTGAAAACATGGCCAACTGGTGACAGGTATTAAAAAAATAAAGATAAATAAATAAAACCCACACATTGTGTTTAGCAGCAACTTTGGTTTCCCTAGGAGAAAAATGTTTAATCAATAACTTGTCGTGTAGCATTTTGCCATGTTGCTTCAGAGCTCTAGAGAGCTGGAGGATGTCAACCTCTAGCTGGGGTGATGGGCGTGTAGTCTGGATGGCCACCTGCCTGCGGGACTACTCTTTTAACTGTAAAAGCAAAGACACTAAACTTTGTTTTACCACTGCAGACATGGATGAATGCAGCTTCTCAGAGTTCCTCTGCCAGCATGAATGTGTGAACGCGCCTGGTTCTTACTACTGTATCTGTCCTTCGGGCTATAACTTGCTTGACGATAGCAGAAGCTGCCAAGGTAAGAACATTCCTGTGCTGATTAAAACCTGAGGGGACCAGAAAATAGGCCCTGTGTCTGGAAAGAGGTTTTCAAGAATTAAGATTCTTGGTCTTGGCATTGCACAGTGAATACTCCTAGGGGCCAATTATGTAATTCTGGTAAGAATGTCATCATGTGAGTAGTCCCACTGAGGTCAATTGGTGTGTTGGTGTAAGTAAGACTTTACTGACTAGGAGACAGCTACACAGGAAAGCCCTCAGATGCTCTCCTCTCTGCTGCATGTCTCTCTTTAGTTTTCCTGTTCTGTAAGGTCAGAGAGCTTGAGCAGCTGATTTATTTTCTGTTTTTGCAGCACTTAGCATATGGGAGCACTCCAATAAGCAGAAATGAATGGAGTAAAAAGTGGTCTTAAAAGAGGGGCCAGTTATCAAAAGACCACTTCTCATGGTGCAAGAGTATTTTGAATTTTGGGGCAATTCCTTAAGATGGAAACTGGTTTGTAAGAGTGGTGCTTTGCACAAATTTCCCTGCTTTAGCCTTTCTCTTGTTTCTTGTGTTTTAGATATCAATGAATGTGAAACCAGAAACTTCACCTGCACTCTGCAGCAAACATGTTTTAATATTCCAGGAGAATATAAATGTTTAGACCCAGTAAGATGCGAGGAACCTTATATCCAGATTAATGAGAAGTGAGTAATATACCCACAGCCACAAAAGCAAATTCTATCTGTGTGAAGCGTATCCAGAGTGAACCAAATAAGCTGCATTTTTACAACACAACCACGAAGTGTGTCTAGAGAGCTATAAATACATGCTGTTGCTGCACTTACCATTGGTAGGGTTTATAAAAATAATAAGTTGCAATTCCTTACCAGGTCAGCAGGTGGGATATGATGTGATACTCAGATGTGTGGGAAGTTAGACTGGAAAAACACTTATGAGTGAGCAGAGAAAACAGCAAGGTTTGTAGTGTAATAAGACACATTTATGTACATTACTAACTGACTTCATATATGCCCCAATGCAGCCTGCTTATTAGTATGAGTATTTCCTGTAAATATTAACTAGCTTATGTCTGGGAAGTACTTTAAAACATTAAATGATAGTTATGGCAGGATACAAGTAGTTTCCTGCTGCTTAAAGGTTAAAAGTGATGAAAAGTGCACAGACTGATTTGTCTTGTCCAGAAATTGGGTATGTCTGGAGAGGGCTGTTAGCCCTGTTACTGTCTAAATTTGGAATTACTTGAGCAAGCAAAAAAAAAATTAAAAAAATAGATCTGACATTTCTAAAAATTTCCTGTTTCTTTTACATTTTTTGTAGGTACTTGCCTAAGGCTTAATCAGCTCCAGACAGATCTCTATATATTGCAGCCCATAGTATTTAATTCATAGTGTTTGCACTAAACCAAATTGCTTGGGATCACTTGGTAGCCTAATGTATTCTAAGAAAGGCAAGAGATGAAGAATCAGCTTCTTTCCATTATAATTTATTAATATTTTTACATTGTTTCCTGACCTAGGGCAGCTGAGGAGTGGAAATGTCCTGTTCTTCCAGTTCTGGGTTTACCTACGTTCAGAGGTGGTAGAATCTTAAACTGGAAGTTGAAATATCTGAAGCTTCTGTATCTAAATTCCCCAGAGCCCAACTATAGAGTCCTTGCAGATCAGCTTGCACCAGAACTCTTGTTCTCTGAGCTTTGTGTTAAGTGGCTCTGGCTTGTGTCTAAATGTGACTGCATTTAATTTGTGGCATATGTCTAAAAGTGGTCAGTATAAAAGCCAAGTGAACCTCTTGCATCTCTGTTTTCTGTGGAAGGAATCGGGCGTTTGTAATGCCAGGGTCCTTTTTAGGGGGGACATGCGAGAAGAACTCTCTAAAATTGGTGTTGGTAGTGGAGGTTATAGAAAAAAATAGGATATAAAGACCCAACTCTTTTCCAGTAAATTCCCCAACATAGCTTTTATAAAGGAACATCCTGCCTCACAACTTTATTAGAGTTCTCTGAGAAATCAGCAGCATGTAGCTGGGGCACATGGGCTGATGCAGTCTGCCTGGGTTTCCAAAGGCTTCTGCAAAGAACCTCACATGGAAATTTTATGGAAATTAAGGAGCCGTAAGTAAGAGAAAAGTCCCTGTCACAGAAAAATAACAGGCTGAAAGATAAAAAATAATTATAGTGTTAAACTGTCAGCTTTCACAGTGAAGTTCTGCAGAGATCTGAGCTGGACCTACTTTGTCCAACATATTTGTAAGCAACCTGGGAAAAAGGATAAACTATGAGATGGGCAAAGTCTACAACAGTAACTCAGGGCGGTAAAGAAAAGGGTGGGCAGAAAAGAATTGCAGAAGGAGCATCGATGACTGTGCAATAAAAACGGCAGATGAAATTCAGTGTAGATGAATGTAAAGTAAAAAGATTATCCCAAATTCACAAATTAAATAAAAAGCACTGATCTGACCATAATCTGTCCAAACTGGAATTTGAGGGTTGTTATCGATAGGTCCATGATCTGCAGTACTCACTAGAGGTCAGAGAAGCAATCTGAATTGGAGGTGTTAATAGGTAGAGAATATCCTTAGAGCACATGCCACTGTGTACCCCTATCTTCAAGACTGTGCAGTTCTTTACCCTCCTCTCAAAAGAAATATAACTGGACAAAGGTTCATAAAGAGCAATGAGGATGATAAAAAATATGGAATAGCTTCCTTGGGAGAAAGTACTAAGTTAGGGCTCTTCAGCCATGAACAGGGTCAAATATGAACTCTGAGTTGTGTGAGGAGGATGAGCAAGGATTGACTGGCTGCTGCCCTTTCCATAGAAGAGCTGGGAGCATCAGACAAAGTCAGCAAGGGGCAGTGCAGAGGGAGGTGAAGTGGGCTGTGGAGCTCCTGGCTGTGGGTGCTGTGGCTGCCAAACTTTCATGTGGGTGTAAGGGAAAGCTGGATGAGCTGACAGATAAGAAATATATTAAGGGCTGATGAATACATAGAAGACATCTTTGTTTCAAGAATTTCCATTTCAGTCACAAACAATTGGAGGCAGTTGGTGGAAGTGTCATATGCTTGGCTTGCTATCCTGCTCTTCCACAGGGCTCTGCATTTGATGCTAGAGCTTTGTTTCGATCCAGCATGTCCTGCTGCATGTTTTCATGTAGTATAGAAAAGATTGTCAAAGAACACAACATTTATGTAGCACCATCAGTGAAATGATCGAACAATTAACATTATTTTGGGGACAGTTCAGTTTACATTAGTACCAGAACAAACACGTGCAGGGTATTTTACACCTGCAGAGCTGCTTTGAAGAAAGTACAGATTTTTCAATGGTCTAAGGAGACAAAGGATGCCAAGATATTTTGGCCTAGAAGACAAGAAAAAGAAGGCAAGGATATAGGTAGGCCAGATTAGCAGCACAGAAAATACTAAAAGAGAGCAAATTCATTACAAATTTCATTGTTTTAGCTGGTCAGCAGCTTTGTTTGTTTATTTATTTATGAAGGTGTATTTGCATATAAAGAATCAAATATTATAGCACTTTGTAACCCCTAATGACAATCCTGTCTCTGACAATTAGCCGCTGCATGTGTCCAGCTGAAAATACCGGTTGCAGAGATCAGCCATTTACCATCTTGTACAGAGTGATGGATATGGTGTCCGGGCGGTCTGTACCTTCTGACATCTTTCAGATGCAAGCAACAACTCGCTACCCTGGAGCCTATTACATCTTCCAAATCAAATCAGGGAATGAGGGCAGGGAATTCTACATGCGGGTAAGTCTGGCGCTTATTGAGAGAAAACGCAGAGTATCGTCTTGTTAGCTAAATATCCTTCTGATAGCAGAACTCAGGTTTTTATTAATATTATTTAAACCTTCAGTTTGTGGCATTTTTACGTGCAGACATGCAGAGCAGCGTGTGGGTCTGCAGGGGCTGCTGGCTCTTTCAGGAAGGTAATCTACCCAAAGCAAACAAATTTGCTTTATGAGACATTAGATTCAGTAAAGTCCGGGGCTGTACCTCTGTCTAAGAATAGCTCGTGTCTCCCATGCTCAGGAGAAACTGTTGTGCCAAATATTTTTTTATTTGATGGACAATCAGTACACGTTACTGAAAGAGTCAACATTTCTTGTTTGATTTTTTTAAATTCTTAATTGGAAAATGAAAAACCTGAAAAACAAAAAAGTAAAGGGACCCCTCCCCTCCCGCTCCCTGCCTTTATGGGCACATTTTATAAAGCCACTGCAAGAGAAAACATGACCAATTTTTTTAATCTAAATTTTCCTCAGAAGACATCTCTGTTCCTCAGTCATCTTCATTGCACCTCTGACATGTGGGGCTGATGGGAAGTGACTGCATAGAATGAGGCACAGCCACCAGGGATGGTTCCCATGCCTCACAGAAACCAGTAGCATGATGGATTTCAGTAGATTTCAATACACATTTCTCCCATGAGCCTCAGATCATACAGTCATAATCATAGAATGGTTTGGGTTGGAAGAGACCTTAAAGATCATCCAGTTCCAACTCCCTGCCATGAACAGGGACACCTTCCACTAGCATCATTGCTCAGTTTTCCTTTACGGTTTTGTCACGTAGCCGTTTGCTGTGTCACCTGGAAGCCCGGCTGGCAGTCCCGCTCCCGCTCCCACCAGCAGCCAGCAGCTGGTGCCAACTCATTGCTTCGGGAAGAGTGAGCAATGGCAGGCGGGGAGGGATGGGGCGTGATGGGCAGCGGGGCCCAGGCCATGCTCCCAGGGGCTGGGGCAGCAGGGCCCATGGCACGGCCCGGGCAGCCTGCCCGGCTCCTCCTCACGGCTTCGTCGTGCTTCGCGGATCAGCGATAATCTCCATTTCGTGCTAAAACAAGTCCCACTGTGTGTTTCTGTTGGAAAACAAACTGCACTTGCTTTGAACGTCAGAAGCTCTGAACATAATCCACTGTTCTGGCCTGATATTTCAAAGGTCTGCTTCCACTGAGTAAAAGACAGATTTTTTGAAGTGCCTTCACATATTTAAAGCTCTCTTCAGAGGTTTTGCAACATTAACATCTGCAATTATACAACAAACACTGATCCTGTTCACATAGGAACATCTGTCCTCCAAGCTCTGTTAACATAACCCCTTCTTGGTGTTTGCTGCTTCAAAGCAACCGTGTTCTTTACATCAAACAAAATAATATCTCACGCGCAAAAAAAAGGTGTCACTGCTTGTGCCTATCCTAAATCCATGTTTTCATCTTTTTCCATTTGGACAATAGCAATTTTCTAAGTTCAATAGCTCCTTTTATGTGCAGGGCTCCCAAAGGCTTACCAAACTGTAGAGGGTGATAGTTCATACAAAACACTGAAATAGAGCCAAATGCTGAAATGAAGCTCGCTCTCTCCTGTGAATTGCAGTAGCTTCTAAAAATGCAGCAGAAAAGAGTGTTATTTTGGTTGCTCAAAGACCATGGCCATAACGTGGTTTCAACTGACATGAAAGTTTTAAAGAGCCCTTTTTTAAAATCTCACCTGTTTCCTCTTGTTTTGTTCACAGCAAACAGGACCAATCAGTGCTACTCTGGTGTTGACCCGGCCCGTGAAGGGGCCCCGTACTATTCAGTTGGACTTGGAAATGATCACTGTTAACACTGTCATCAACTTCAGAGGAAGCTCTGTCATCCGGCTGAGGATATACGTATCACAGTATTCCTTCTAAACCTCGAGTTTGTGCCCTGGAAACATTAAAACAAGAGACAGTTCCTCCCCTGCAGAACTCTCTCCTCAGAAGCCAGTACGTATAGCAGCTCTAAACCAAACCAGTATTTCCACAGGCCTGGTGACCTAAGCCTGCCTAAGGAGGGTGGCCTCTTCATGCACATTCCCTACCAGGATGCAGATATCTGAAGATGTGTCCTCAACAGATCCCATGTGATTCTCTATGTGGTATACTTTAGGGACTCTTCTTTCCATTGTAAACAACTTCTAGAGTATGAGTCTATGTTTGAAAGACTGTGAACCTTTGTAGCTCCAAAGCTGCTTAGCAAAAAAGCACCAAAGAAACTGAGGAAAAAGCTGGCTTTTGCAATCTTGCTTTTTTTTTTTTCATTATAAATGGAAAGCAGACAAACAAGCAGAAACAGAAACAAAAAGCCACCTATTGAAACAAGGGATCTCAGAAATGCTAACTTACATTCCCAATTATCTCTGGAATTATCAGTCAGGCACTTTGTCTCAATTCACCCTGCATTTGTCTTAGTTTCACCTGTTTTTTCTTTGATTCTATTTTATAGTTAAAATTCATTGTAAATTCATTCCAAAATACATGTTGTACTATGTAATCTACTTTCTAACAGTGTCACATGTTTGGGTTCCTTCCTGTATTAAATCTTTCTGTATAACAGAGTTCATAGAAATCCATCACTGGTTGGTATGTTTTACAAAGTTTAGGGTGTTATGTTTATTTACACCCAGACTCTTTGACACAAGCCTCCACTGCCAGAATAGTGCCCAGGGACTTCAGAACAGATGAGAATCAGACCCTTATTTTTCCCTGTTTTCCTGAGTGCGGTGATTGCAAGCAGTTTGTAATGGTTATAAGGTAGTGTAGTTAAAGCTGCAATTAAGCTCCTGTTCAAGGACCACTCAGCTCAGACCTATTCAAATTCCTTCAGAAAAAATGAATTGTTCTGTTCATGTGCAGTCTCTCTCTTACACGCCCAACATTGCAGGAAATAAGCTGAAAAGGACTCAGACCAGTCTTATTGTTCATGCCTCTGCCACAAAGCAGACCCCACTATACAGGTTCCCAGACCTCAAACGATGAGATCCCACAGTTTCCATAGGCAATGTCTTCTCAGGTATAACTGCTGTAACCAATAGAAAGTTTCTCCTAATCTGAGTCTCTGCTGTTGTAATTTAAATCCACTGCTTTTTAGCCTACATCCAGTAGAAAGAACAGTTTATCTTCCCCCTTTGCTGCAGTCTTTAACATGTCTGAGTACTGTTGTCATGTCTCCCCTCAGACTGTTTCTCTCTAGTCTAAACAAACCCAGTCCTTTTGGTCTTTCCTCATACATCACATTTTGGACCTTTGATCATTCTTGTTGCTCTTGTCTGGATTCTCTCCAGCTGGTTCACTTCTTTCTTAAAGTGCAGTGCCCAAAACTGTGAAAAGTATTCCAGCTGAGGCCTCACACTGCTAAGCTAAATCTATATATGTTTAGGATTTTGGAAAAAAAAAAAAAATATATAGTTTGGGGGTATAATGCTTACCTAGTTGAAGCCACTGGCACTTTGGTGATTTATTTTAGAAGGGAAGAGAGTTCATAAGCCTTGTTCTTCAGTTTCTGTGAAGCAAGCTCTTCTGCCTCCTGCTTTTTCCTTATCGGCTCATTTGCTTGCCAGCATCGCTAGGGCAGGAAAGATAACCTTTGCTTTGTCTTTTTGAGGACTGGAAGTGCTTAATGCTACTTGGGAAAAGGAGTTTATGAAGATTATAATTTGAGCAGGCTGTAGCAGAGTAGAAGCATTATGTGAGGTCTTCATTAAAGTGGAGTATTAAATGAGAGAATACAGACTCAGAAAGTTATCACAACAGAGACTGCATGACACAGTCAGAAAATTGACTCTCTTGCTCCTAATAAGCTTTGCGAGTTAGTCTGGAGTTGTTATTCCCTAGCTTTATTAGAGACTTTGGCCTTTTACTTGTACTCAGCTTGAAGGAAGCCCTGATGACAGGAAAAAAATGCTGAGTTGAGTGTGCTTTAGCAGTTTCCATTTCTTAATGGTTTAAAGTCTTCTCTGTGCTACTACAATGTCTTGGGATCCTGTGGCTCAGAGCTCTGTACACAGACTATCCTTTATTGTAAAAACAAAAAGGCTGGAGCTTGACTCCACAGTGTAGTGGGCCAAGCTGAGGGCAGGAAGCCAATGAGTTTTGTGAGTAGCCGACTTGGAGGAGATAAACATAGAGGAAATGTGCAGAGAAATATCAAAAACAAGAATGTGTTTCCTGAGTGTATCATGGCTCATCATATAGCACCGTCTTGGAAGGGAAAATAGAGATGACCAGGAAGGAGGAATGCTAGTTTATAACCATGGGGCTAAAAGTGCTCCTCTGTCCCAGCTGCTGGAAGTGGGACATGGGAAATAAGCAGGCTCTGGTGGCCCAGAGAGCAGACAAAGGGCAGGCAGTGTCTTGCATTAAAGACGTTAAACTCCTAACATGCTGAAGGTTTTCCCATTGCTTAAACATCCCTTTTCCCCCCTTTTGTGCCCCTATGTTATGGCTTCTTCACGTCCAGTTGAGGAGTCCTCTCCTTTCCTGCCATCACATCACCTTTTGGAGGGGAAGTGCACCCTGTTAAGACATCAGACAGCTTCTCACGTCTGGGCTTTTCTCCCATGGCCCCCACATACCAACCTGATTTAACCCTAATTTAGAAACATCAAAACCCAGAGGAATTCCATAACAAAACACTTTGTTAAAAGAGTAAAGCTTGAATGCTTGGTTTTAGCAGGGTCCAGCAAATACTCATAAAGTAATATTACACTTTCTATATAAACATTCTGCGCCTTAAAAAAAAGTGAAAAGTCTGGAAACAAAGGAATTCAGCCACTTCTCAATCGCCATAACATCTTTCATCACTCACTATCACTCCAGCCAACTTTAACTTTGCCAAAATATATGCCAATCTCAAAATAATAAATTACTAGCAGTTTATAACATCTAAACTCTCCATTTCCTAGTCAGGGGTCTGTTTTCAATAGACCATCGCAGACTCGTATATTACAGCAATCCTCACCAAATAAAAATAAATAAATAATTAAATAAATAAAAAAGACTATGCATGTCAGATTTTATAGCAAGAAAGTTAAAAATGCAAACTTGCAACTGCTGCATACATTCATGTTCGCCTTTGAGGCTGGGCTTCCCTAAAGGCAGACAGAATTCCAGGTCTGCTCAGAAAAGGATTCTTTATTCTAACCTATTGCAGAGGATTTTCTAACACAGAGAGTTTTACCATAACGTTCATAGAAAATATTCTGGGCAGCACCAGATGAGGGCACCTACCCTGGTGTGGATACATGTGGCTTCCCTCCAGCTCTGCTCTGACACGCTCCTTGCTCAGGGTGGCAGAGCCCTTCCGAGGCAGAGTTTGGCAGGGACAGCTCTGTGCCTCTCTTGCCTGTCACCTTTCATGTCTGTTTAAACACAGGTCTTCAGGAAAAAGATTGTGTCTCACTATGTATTTGTACAGCACCTATTGCCAGTGCAATAATTGGAATAAAAGTAAACTGAAGCAGAAATGCCAGTAAACTTTGATACGGATCACAATGATTGGGAAGAACAATCTATTCTGATAAATGAACCAAGTGATTCATGCTAGGCGGGTTAGGTGCCAGAGGGAGAAGAATGGCAAGAGGTGAATGATCCAGTGTGGTATAGCTGAATGGGTCCTATCATCCTGCTTATTTGACTTTGAGATATTTTTAGAGGATTGACTTTTTTTGACACAGACCACAAAATGTTATTTCACCTAAGAGTTTGCTGGAGCCCACAGCATCGCTTTTCAGCTTGTGCTTCACTGACAACAGTTTTATTGAGAATAGCTAAGCTTCTTTGAGTACCTCGCCACGCGCCCTCACCAAATGTAGTGTCCAGGGCCATTCACATGGAGATTTCTTCTTTTCAGGTTGAACACCTGTACTCATATTTACCTTTTTTTGGCTCAGCTTTTAGAAGAGTCAAACTTCTCTGTCTCATAAACATGGTATCAGCAGAACTTATGTATTCATTTTTCTCTGTCTAGAGCAAGCAGAGCAACAGAATCAGCAGTTTGTGGTCATTCAAGTTCTCCAGTCTGGCTTATTCACAGAACATGCTACTGAATATCTTCCGTAGGACGTAGCTGTATTAGAACTCAATGAAAATTTCATAGCACAAAGATGTTTAAAAAAAAAAAAAAGAAGAAGAAGAAAAGTACACCGTAATGTTATTCAAGCCTGACAGGCACTACTGTTAAAATAAATCTCTATCCTGGATGGACAAACCCCTCAGCTGGTGTTAATTTGCATGACCCTTCTGCTCTTTAACAGAAAGATGGAAAGTATTCTTAGAATCTTCCCTGTGTGTGTGCAAAGCACTGTGCATGTATCTGTATACAAGAATTTACAGAAGCTAAAACTAGTTGTGGTAGTGTGGCTCTGCATTTGGAAGCCAAAGAGTTGCAAGATAACACAGCACAAGCAAATTGTGTTCCCCCCTCTGACATGAGGGCAGACAAGTCATTTACACCCATCACATTTTGTTGTTTTAAGTCTTTGAACTAATTCTGAATAGCTCAGCTCCACATCAGATGCCATGCACGAAGATCACTGAGGCTGATGGTCATAACTAGACTTTCAGGGATTTTGCAGAAAGCCTGCCCAGAAAGGTGACCCATGCTGAAGAGTCAGTGCTGTAGGGAGTGTAATGGTTCAGAGGTATTTGTGCAGGGATGTCTCTGATCCTGCAGCTGCCTCTTTCCTCACCTGTTTCAGTGCAGAGTGCATCTGATGTTTACAAGTGTGGACATCAGAGCTGGATACCTCAGCTATTCCACTTCTTAGTTCAAACTTCTGAGACCCCTTCTGGTGGTTTCCATTGGCCAAACTGAACCACCGTGTAACTCAACTATTATCGGTGAAGTCACACGAGGGAGAGTTTAGGTACAAGGAAGATACACAAGTGCATAATGATGCAGTAACTTTGATGTAAGAATTAAGGAATGTAGCTGGGTAGCAAAGGGATCTTTAGAAAACACTTCAGCAACCAATAATTGCTGAGTTATTCAATCCCTCCTGTATTGCAGAAGTCACTCATTCTCCCTTTTGAGTTTGTTCTGGATAAATGATCTCATTATGGTCATGCACTGCAAGAACACACTGAGTGAGCTCCAATTCTCCTCTGGCACTATGTAACAATTTTCACTTTGCTTTTTGGAGATCAGTTGTAGACTATGTGTCTCTTCTAGGCTCTGACTGACCTCAGTTGCTTTTGTCATAGCCAAGGCAGATTTGCTATTTCCCTGTCAGTTTCCTCTGCACACACCATCTGTACAACAATCTCTTCATGTGTTTCACTGGAAATGCAGGCACTGCTATTGACCCATCTGCTGCTTTTGTACCCCCCTCCCTCTGCAATGTCGGTAGGCACCCTTACAGCAAAGTATTAGGTCAGAATGGCTGAAGGGATTGCCCAGCCTGCTGGCAGAACCTGGCCTCATAAAGAAGATCTATAAAAACCCCACAACCCCCCAGTTTTGAAGGTGATAGATGCTCTTTTAGGTCCTGATGAATCACTTTTCTTCTGAAATTGCATCTATATCATTCTGGTTTGATAGTGTCAAGGCTTTTAAGAAGCCTGATAAGGACA